TTCAAATCTTACTGCTCCGCCCTCGCTTCCGCTAAATTGTCGTTCTACTTCAAGACAATCTTGGATGCCAAGCACAACCCCAGGCTCCTCTTCTCCATCACCAACTGGCTCCTTCGACCACCCTCTCACACCTCACCCATCCTCACTTCAAATGCCAACTGCGAAGCGATGCTGGACTTCCTCAAATCCAAAGTCGAGGGAATCCGCTCAGCTGCCTCTGCCACTGCAACTCTCTCCCCATCTCCCACTCTCATCCTCATTCAGCAGCAGATTTTGTGCATATCATGGTCAAGAATGTCACGGATAGAATCTTTCCCATTTTGAACACCCAGCGATTCCAGCAACACTTCAAACACTCTCCAGGTCAGGTATAATGCTGATACAGAATGAACCTTCCTGTATTCTGGCCTAATAATGTGTTCTGCTCTAACAATAACATGCATCAGCATGAAATCGTCCACTTCCTACACTAGCCATACAGTGACCTCTATGCAAGACTGAAAGTGAAAGACTGCTGAATTAAGAACAAGTATTATGCTGTGATCCAATTTGCACTAGGAACTAGATTAAAACGATTTATATTCATTGGTTAGAGGAACCTTGCACAGAAAAGTTCCCTGCAAGAATAATAATAACTTTGTACCTTGTAGATAATCAATTTTATACTTTTAAACTCATTTTCCTATTTGCAGTCACTGAACTTCTGCTGTAATGTTCTCACACAGGATCAATCACATTAAAGTGATTCTATAAGGATTTTGTGACCAATGTATACAGTGAAGAGCAAAGTGGATAAAACAAGGGTCTCCTCATTGGCGTAAGTTTACTCTATGGCCGCAGTGTGAACTTCGGTTTTTATTTTAACAATTTGCTTGAAATAAAGCTAAAATAATAACAATAATAAACTTTGCATTTGGTATAGTGCCTTATCACGTCATTGAGACATCTCAAAGCACTTCACAGAATATACTGTAAAGTGAATTGACTGTATATTTTGTGGGTGAAACGCGGCAGCCAATCGTGTACAGCAGGGTGAAAATTAAATTAAAATCTCAAAGTGAAAATCAAAGTGTATTATTAGCAGTAGACACAACCCATAAAGCAATGACTTGATTACATTGCCAAACTTATCACCATGGGGGTCTAATCGTGCCTGGTGATTAACATTGGGATCCTCTTAATTGTTTCAATGGGAAATCCCATTATAAATGTACGACAAAAAGATTGTCAGTGTAGTGATCAATGAAAGTTGGACCTTTTTTAATAAACAGTGTAAAGCAGCATCTTGCGATATTTACTCAGTGATCCTGCCCCTTGAACGGAGACATACAAAGCCTGAAGCTACCTTGAAATTTGGTGTGACTGGTCCTAATTTACTTAATCACTCAGAGAAACGGTAAGGAATTAAGATACAGCGAAATTATGTCCTCTGGAAGCGGAATCCAGAACAAGGGGGTATAATCTTAAAATTAGAGCTGAATTTAGGAGTGAAATTAGAAGGCAGTTTTTCACTCAAACGGTAGTGGAAATCTGGAACTCTCTCCCCCATAAGGCTGTGGATGCTGGATCCAATTCACATCTTCAAGACTGAGGTGGATAGATATTTTTTAGGTCAGGGTATTAATAGATACGGGGCAAGGGTGGGTAATTGGAGTTGAGGTACAGATCAGCCATGATCTGATAGAATGGCGGAACAGGCTCGAGGGGCTAAATAACCTACTCCTGTTTCTATACAAGGATGGTTCTGAAATGGGTTGAAGGACCTTCTTCATCCAAATCTCTCTTGTGATCTTGTAAAATAGAAAAGTAAACCCTCAGAGAAGAATTCTACCATTATTTGTTTTTTAAAGATGCAGATTTTTTAAAAAAAGCATTTTTTTAAATGTTTCTATGTATGTGTGTACCAATTAAAAATAAACCTTAGGTGAAAAAAATCCACTGATCTCAAATGCCTTCTTTAAAAATTAATATTTAAAATATTGCCTTTTGCTTTATCTCAAGGCATGGAGAACAGGAAGACCTTTAAATTATATTGGAACAGCGGTGTAGGGAATTGATGCTGTCAGTTAATTTAAAGGGGAAAAGTGTTCGTTCCGCAGAATCGACGGCCCTCCATGTGACAAGCAAAGAACTGAGTGTTATACTGAAGTACCTGTTTAGTAATTCACTGCAATTGGGTCTATTACTGTTAGGATTACATTGATTATTTGGCAGGGATACATCTAGCACATGCTTTCAGCTGTCTTTGAGAAATCACAGCTGAGCACAGCAGCTATACCAAGCACGATTGTGCACAATTGAGAAGCAGCAAGACAGCTTTAGAACTGGCCTCATTATTTCTTTTCACGGCTGTCAAGATTATTAGAGATGATGGCAGACAACAGCAGTCTGAAGGCCCATAGCTCATGTGAACAAATCATGGATGTGAGTCCACACCAGACCAACAGAAATTTTCATACATATATGGAACTCTTCACTTTGGTTTGGATACTCTTAAGCATGGTGATGGGTTTCTCTGTATGGCTGACACCTGGTTGACAAAACAAACCTAATGAATGGGAGAATACCCCCCTTGTCTCTAAATTTCAGCTGAATTTCTCAGTACATTGATGGAGGCTAAAACTCAGCTCAACCCAATTGGAGAGGATATAAACAACACTTGTTCCCACTAATTGGGTGAATTCATTATCAAGCTTGGGGGTGCAAAATGCAAATTATTACACCACGTATCACTATTTTCAATTTATTGTGACGTACAACCATCTACAGCAGATGTTTTATACCTGACAGGGATTAATTTGTGAGTTCTGCTCACCACGTGTAAATACGTGTAAAGAGGGAATTATAGTTGCCCCTAATTGTATAATTAATGATGCTGTAACCCATTTCATTGCTTGTTAAATTGCATAATTATGGGAGGCTGTAATTCCTTCTGTACAAATGTGTTCACAGATGATTAGCACAAGTCTCCAACAGGATGCTACATATTCAGCATGCACACGTTCTGGGTTTGACAACCATTTGTGTCATTTAAAATTTAACTGCTATGAACCCCTTTTGCTGTGAATACAAAGCACATAAAACTTAAAACTGGAAGCTTATAATATTGTGCAATGTCTATTGTGCAGTGAATATATCCCAAGATGCAACCACCTAATTGCACGCCCTGTTCAGACTTTGGGCAAATGCTTAGATCGCCACATTTTTCAGTTCATTTAGTTTTTAATCAACGGTAGCAGTACCAGCAGGCTGGTTAAGTCTCAGACACATTACTGTGATGGGAAGCGAGTTATGTGGGGAAGGGAAGAATGGTCGGGATATCAGTGCACGCACAGTGCTGGGAGTTTGACAGTATGACAAAGGACCTCAAGCACCTCTATACTGTCCCAGATCTGAGGCATCCCTTTCTGGTGATTCTGGGGCAGTTGAAGAGCCACCAATTGAGTCTATTTATAGCAACAAATGGGAGCTGAATTTTCAGCACATTGTATTTCCTTCTGCTGTTATAAATCAGGCAGCAGAGGCTGTCAAGTGGGTTGAAAGCAGAGTTCTGCGCAATAATTTGGGGGTCAATAGCAGCAGAGGAGGCTTAGCCCCCAAATCCACCTACAGCTCAGCTCTATAAGGGGGAGCTGGGTGAGGGAAGCCCTGAGCTCCAACCAGTCTTCCGAGCAGCCCCAGCCAACAGCACCCACGCGGGGGCCCCCTCTTGCCTCTCTCCCAAATCATTAGTGGGGCTCTCCCACTTGTGGTCCAGGAGGCTGCTCGGCAGGGCGTCCTCACCTTTGATTGACTGATGGACCTGTCAATCAAGCCAACAGCTCACCTGTCTTGAAGGGGACCGATTCTTTAACTGCATTTTATTGCCTCCCAAGAATATTTTCACCTCTCTCTCTCTATATATATATTTACTGTATAAAAAATCAATCGATTTAAAGTGAATTAAGAATCTTTCTTTCCTCCTGTCAGCAGTCCACTCAGCACAGTGCAAAATGAGTTTGGTTGTATTGAAATGCGCTCATTAATCTCTTCCGTGATGTGATAGTCTGAGGGAATCAAGACCCCATGTCAGGAAATTCTTATTTGAAAGGAATAATTTCTTTTATTCAAACAAAGAGCTCCCTATTCAAGTATTGAAAACGGCTGCTGTGAGCAAATGTTGCTTTAAGTATAAGATTCATATCCAGGTTTTACACAATGTTCACATTGAAAAAGATTATTACGGACTCAGAGCCCCAGTTCCCATCTTTCACTATGAACTAGCCCCTTTGACTGCTCTGAACGTTACTGAAGTTGGGCTGCCTTCCACCTACTTCATAGCGTATAGCAGCATTTTACAGAACGGGGTCAGCACCAAAGAAATGACAACACAATACTTTGGAAAATCTTGTACTTTCATACATTATCTGCACAGCTGCTGTGGGACATTGCTGTGCGCAAATTGGCTGCCACGTTCACCCACAAAACACACAGTTACTCTGCAGTAAATCCTGTGAAGAGTTTTGGGACGTCCTCCCGAGGTGAAAAACACTGTACAAATGTAAAGATTAGTATAATTATTATCACGTGAATCATCTGACTTTCACTCTTTTTCATCCAGCATTTGTTTCACCATTAGTTGAATGAATAGCCAAAAATATAGGTTTGCTGCAAGTAGCATTCCAACACTTACCACTTAGTCTGGATTGTGACAGGTGTGACAGATTGTGCCAGCAACAGAAACCTGCCAGAAACATGTAAGCCTATAATATTTAAAGAATGTTATCTTTAACTTTACACGTATAAAGAGTAAGATAGCTACCTGGAGACCAGCAATGCTGCCACTTTGTGACACACTTTGTATTGTTACAAAAATTGATAAATATATGGTGCTGCACATTATGCCACACGTTATTTTTCATGAAATGAAAACATTTCTAGCAATTGATCCTCACCGTTGCTTGGGAGTCCTGGTTTAGCTGGGATTTGAGAGGTCATTACTGTGCTGGGTTTAATCTTACCTTCAGTTTGCGATCGTGATCTCCGCTGCAGAGGGAATTTACAGAGACTTTAAATGTTTTCCAGGCTGGATTTAGATTGTTCATGACGACCTGTGGAAACAAGAAGATCAGACATTCTGTAACAAAACTTTAATACTCGTGTTTGCCAAGCTAGTTGATTCATTAGTAATTGAAGATTACTCCAGCTCATCTCTCTAGGCTAAATGCAAGGATGAGTGCATATTGTCTGCAGCAATGCACATTCAACTGCTAGCGAAAACCTGGCAGCTTTACACCCATGGTAACAGAGGTCAGTTTAAAGCCATCTCGGATTTTTATTCAGCTCATCTTTGATTCAATCTTAGCTCTGCATTACCAATTATACTTCATACAATTTGAATAAAGAACTCAATTCATCATCATCAAAGTCATAGGGTGGGGGAGTCAAAATCCACCTGGGTCCAGATGTGTACTATTTTAATAATATAATAATAATCTTTACATTTAATATAGCGCCCTATCATGTCATTGAGACATCTCAAAGCGCTTCACAGAATGTACTGCAAAGTGAATTAACTGTATATTTTGTGGTCGAAAAGCGGCAGCCAATTGCGGACAGCAGTGTCCCACAAACAGTCGTGGATTGAGTGACAATGTATGTGTGTGTGTATGTATGTATGTATGTATTTATTTATTTATGGGGAGGGATTATTACTGCTGGAAAATGCTCACCCAATTGACGAACAACTAAGTTCCAACTTATTACTAGGTAAACAGGCGTGCAGAGTAAGGAAGCTTGCCTAAGGTTTCGCCTTGCCTGGGAATTGAACCCAAATCCTCTCACTTGCGAGGCAAGTGCTCTAACCAATATGCTGCAGGACTGCACAAATTTTCTCAGCATTTCAGCAGTGTGCAGAATTTAATCTTAAATGTTTTAAAGGGCTTTAGGAAATAGGTTTCAAAATAAGATTAAATTTAAAAATAATCATCCTTGCATTTGATATAGTGCCTATCATGTCAGGAGGAGGTCTCCAAAGACTTCACGGGATTCACTGTAAAGGGTAGTGACTGCGTATTTGGTTGGCAAATGTGTCCAGACAATTTGAGCACAGCAATGTCCCACAAACAGATTTGAAGTGCATCTCAAATTTTATTTGGGAAATCGTTAGCCAGAATACTGCGAGAAACTCCCTCCTCTGCCTACCTGCTTTGAAATGCTATGAAAATAGGGCAAGTTTAGACCCAGATGAAATTTTTGCCACATGACCCTCCGTGGGACTTGAACATGGTCTTCAATCAATAGCATCGTGTGCCAAATGGCCTTTCTCATTACTATTGTTTCACAGTATAAGAAGTGCAAGTGTGACTATTGAAATAAAAAATCAATCAGAAATTCCAGTACCTCTGTTCTGTGAACAAGTTGCTGCGTCCCATCATCATTCAACCTGAAGATTTCCAGAAATGGGTCGGATTTGCTGAAAAAGTCCTAAAAATGGAATTTCACTTAGTTAGACATTTGCGCAGCTGGCAAATGCAGTTACAATAAATGCATTGTGTGCAATAATTGAAATGCAGGAAAGCTTTCACAAATATTATCAGATCCCATGGATTTGAAATTGTGCCTTATCATGTCAGCAAGACATCTCAAAGCACTTATGTACCCGATCAAATAAAACCCATCACTGCTTGTCAAACGGTGCAAATCCTGCCAAATTGTGTGATTAAACAGTGTAAGACGGATACCTATTGCGGCCCACAATAGAAGCCCTCTATCCTCACCACCACCACCACCAAACTGGCAAATAACCATCAGAACATAAGAAATGATAGATGAAAAAAGATCAAAGTCTATCTAGTTTGCCTTCCACCTTCCTGGAGGTCATATGTACATGTCCCTATATACTATATCCCATAATGTTATTTCCTAAAAAAGAAGATCTAATCTGTGTTTGAAGGAATCAACACTTTTTGCTTCAACCGTCTCCCTAGGGAGCCTGTTCCACAGGTTTACTATTCACTCACTGAAATAGTGTTCCCGTAGACACATCCTGAATTTACCCCCCTTCAATCGCAGGCCGTATTCTGTTTTTATTATTCTGGACTAGTTGAAACAGAAGGTTAAGTAAACATAAAAACAATTCATATCAATCATAGCCCTTTGAGATATCCTTCCAACGTGAAATATACTGTATAAATGTAAATTGAGCTGTACTGCATATTCCTAAATATTAAACATAGCACACTGCTGATTATATTCCAAATTAAAGTGTTCAAGTTTGTACTCGCAGTTTGGATTGTTATTACTGCATATTTTCAGTCCTCGTTAAGGAATTCTTCTAAGAAATAATGCAAATTAGACCTCATTGTGTAACCCAGAATCAGAAAAAGATAGCACAAAATTACAACATCATTGCCAAGTTAAGCAGATGAACTCCACTTGCTAAAATTCAAACTCTTAAGAAAATCCTTCAATCAAACATGGATGGTATCTACTGCCTTGGATGAAGTGAGAAGCACTTCAGCCTTGAACAGACATGAACTTTACAGAGAATTAATGAAGTGTGCTTAGCACAGAAGAGAAGTCAAAGCTTTTCTGGGGCAGTTTTAATCATGATAAATTCATCTGAGGTCAGAGGGGATAAGAGGCTATGAATCTGAATGAATCCGGAAAAATTAAATGTGTTTATTGGGAGGGTATCTGACCTGAAGGAAACTGAAGTTTAATCATCAGTAAAGTATAGATGAAGTTGAATGATGAGTGAAGGAGAATATCAACAGGGAGAAGAAATACTTTGGTGTAAGTGGCTACTGAGACTGAGATCATCCCATTTATAAAAAAAAGTATATGAAGAGGAATCATCTGAAAAGGTCTGGGAAAAGAGCAGGGTATTGGGATTAAAGTGGAAAGCTCCACTGGAGGAATTGGCACCAGCACAGGCTCAAAAAATCAAATACAACAACAACATCAGGAGGATCTCTGAAAGTGCTAGAAATAGTATTTCTTCTATATTCTGAGAGAGAAAACAGAGGCAATGTGCAGAGGAAAGAGACAGAGGGCAAACTCTAAATAAGCACAAATAAGTGATTCAAAGAAAAGAGCTACATTGAAAACTATACTGATGTAGAATAGGCAAGAGATTTTAAAGCAATGAATAATTTTTTAGATAATTTTAGAGGTAGTTTCCCTAACGTTATAGTGGAAATATAGATATAAGAGCTGCGCTATGATGGTTTGAAAAAGAGGGGAGGATTTTTTCACAGATATCAAATAAATAGGAACACTTTTCCAAGATCAATGAAAGATTGACTGGGAATGGGAGAAATTTGGAGGAAAGTATTATTAGCTTGGGTTTTGATATACAATCTTGTGGTGTTACTACTGAAAAGATAAGTTTAAGAAATCCATCTAGAGCTAGTGAGGCTGTACTGAGAACACCACATGCAGAGTATTATGGACATTTTGTTCCGGTTAATTGTTGAAGTGCTGAAAGACAAAAAGGTCAATACACTGGAGTACTAATGTGCAGTGATGGGATCTGAGTGCTTGTTTACAGCTCTCTCACATGCTGTCTTCCTGACCTTAATGTACAACTACAGGGAGAGGTGTATTCCATAGGGAAGGTTTCCATAGGTATTCGTCCCAGCTCACTTTGAGTGACATTGGCAGAGGACTGCGATGGCGGGGTGGGGGAGGAGGTGAGGTGAAAAAAATGCAACAAGAGGGAGCCTCATCTTCAGAACAAAATACTGAGAGGCAATGACCAAATCATTCATTAGTTAAACGGATTAACTAACGGCTTCCTGCCCTCGATGTGAACACTCAATAGTTACTCTATCAATCAGCAGCTTTTCAATTTTGTCCATAGAATGGCCACATTAAATGAAAGCCCACTTATAAGTCAGATGTCTTCCCAAAATGGGCCCAGAAGTACTTTGCATAAAAAAGGGAATGTGAACTGCATCTCTTCCTGTTGAGAATTCCATGCATTGTCAGTCACCAGCTCACTCCGCAATTTGGAGACATGTTTTCAATGAAGCCCATAGTTGGTCACTTTGCCCAGCTTTTTAAAAAAAATCTAATGTCAAATTTTGAGGGACATGTGCTGGTAGTTCCATAGCTTCAGAAAGGACAAGTTAGTCCAGTTAGACTAGTTACTTGCCTCTGAACAGATTCTTAGCATTCAGCCAGGTTTGGGGATATCATTTTATTATAATTTTAGACAAGATTTGTCCGAACACGAAATTAGCTCTTGGAGAAACTCTTGTGCAGGAGGTATTTATCTCCTTAAACAATCTGACTATAATGATGGACCCTCGCTGCTCATGCACAGATATCAGCCCATTCTTCTGTTCTTAGGGAACAGAACAGTTGTCATTGCTGGATAAGTGGGTTTTTATAATAATAATCCTTGCATTGATATTGCACCTTATCACATCTTCGAGACTTCTCAAAGCACTTTAAAACCAGTGATACAATGATCCCACAATGGTACAATATTTTTCTGAAGGTAATTGTACCATCAGATCATGTAATTAAAAGCACTGCTGGAAATACCTATCCCACACGATGGTACCTCTGCACATAAGATAACAGGAACAGAAGAAGACCATTCAGCTCATTTAGCCAGTTTACTAGATCTTGGCAAATCTTTTAATCTGAATATCCTGTCCTTCACCGTTTCCCTTAATACCACTTCTATCCATTACCTGTCTATTTCTCAATTGTATATTCCTATTGATTCCATTTCTATAGTTTTCTGTAACTGAGAATTATCCATTTTCACAACCCTGTGTGAAGAAATATTTCCTGCCTTAGTTCTGATTTTAAGGCTGTGTCCCCTTGGAATGGATCCCTCTACGGTCAGGAAGAGTCATTCACTATCTAACCTGTGAATTTTTTTCGTTATTTTAAACATCTTAATTGAATCACCCAATCCTGACACCTGGATAAAAGGATTGCTCTTCAAAGAAGCCAACACAAACCCGATGGGCAGAATTGCCTTCTGTGCTGATTTTTATGGTTCTAAAGCACACCAAATGAGTTCTGACCAGAGCTCTATATCAATGGTGCAGCCAATAACACTTTATATTCCATACATCTTGTTATAAATCACACATTTCTTCACACAGGGTTGTGAAAATGTGGAATTCTCGGCCCCAGAAAACTATAGAGGTTGAATCAATAGGAATATTTAAATGAGAGATAGACAGATAATGGGCAGTAGTAATATTAAGAGGTATGGTGAAAGGACGGGATATTGGGATTAAAAGATTTGCCAAGATCTAGTATACAGTAAACTATCCAGTCAAATCACTTTTCACTATATTTTGAAGCATCTAAACGACGTGATAAGGCGTTATATCAAATGCGTGGATTGTTATTATTATAAAGGCCAACATTCAATTTGCCTTATGGATTGTTTTCTGCTTACTAATTGTTTTTTGTATATACTATCTCTTCTTCTTTTATACATAATACATAATCCGCAGACATGAGGTCAATTTCCGTATGTACGTGGATGACACCCAATTCTATCTCTCTGCCTCCACCCTCGATTACAAGACAACTGACATCCTGACAATCTGTCTGTCAGATATCAAGTCGTGGATGAGAGCCAACATTTCTACAGCTGAATGTCAGCAAGACCAAGGCCCTCCTGATTGGTTCGCACCAGCGTCTCCGCACCTCAGGCACTGGCAGCATCAGCATTCATGGATGCACACTCCACCTCACCAAGTCAGTCAGGAACCTAGGCATCTTGTTCAACCCTCAACTGTCCTTTCTCCCCCATATCCGTGCCATTGCCCGACTCTACCACTGCCTCACCCTTCAGGCCACCCAAACCCTTATACACACATTTGTCACCTCAAGGCTTGACTACGGAAACTCCCTCCTTTTCGGCCTCCCCAATGTTTCCCTCCAAAAGTTGTAGATCATCCAAAACTCTGCAACTCGTGTCCTCTCCTGCATCAGGCTCCATGACCCTATCAGCCCCCCACTCGCCCAGCTCTACTGGCTCCCCATCCCTCAGAGGATAGAATTCAAAATCCTCATCCTCACTTTCAAGGCCCTCCATGGCCTTGCCCCCTCCTACATCTCTGACCTGCTGATCCCCTATCAACCTATCCGCTCCCTCTGCTCATCAGGCTCTGGCTTGCTCCATGTCTCTCGTCCGACCCGCCCTACCATTGGAGGATGGGCTTTCAGCCTCTCTGCCCCTCACCCTTTGGAACTCCATCCCATAATCCCTTCCCTTCCTCCCTCCCTTGCCTCCTTCAAGGCCCGACTCAAAACCCTCCTTTTTGATCGTGCCTTCAGCCGCCCTCCTAACTCTCTGCCCTCCCTCATCCCAACCCTGCCCCGACCCACACGCTCGGGTCCTTATCCCTGACTCTTCAGCGCCTTGGGATGTCCTCCCGGAGTGAAAGGCACTTTACAAATATAATTTTGTTGTTGTTGTTGATACCACACATTCTCTTTAAGTATGTTAGGTTAGACTGAGCTGAATATCAGCACAGTTGAAAATTGTGGCTCCACTCACAAGAAAACTGAAGTGCTTGTATAGAGCCATTGCACTCATTGACAATTCAGATACGGCCATCTACATTGCATAATAATGGTTAAATTGGACTCTCCTCATTAAATAATTTTAGTAAACATGCAGTAATAAAGGAAAGAAAAGGTCCTGGACCCTGTTTAAAAACATTTTAAAACAGTCTGGTAAAGTTTTCATTTTATTTTTATTTTCTTACCTTATCATCTAGCTTTCTGGCGCCAAAAGACAGTTCTACATAATCATCATTCCCTGACAATTCTTCAGCAATTACCTGCAGTAGAAAAAAACTGATCAAAATCCACACAAAATGTGTCTTCCTCAGTGCAGGGCCAGAGTAACAACAACAACGACAACAAAATTACATTTGTATAGCGCCTTTCATGTCCAGAGGCCATCCCAAGGCGCAGAACAGTCAGTGTTTCGGACCCAAGCTGGGGGTTGGGATCGGGGATGGTGGAGGGCAGGCCGGGAAGGACAGTGACCAAAGGCACTGCCAAACAGGATGGTCTTGAGACAGGTCTTGAAGGAGGTAAGGGAGGGAGCGAGGTAGATGAACTGCAGGATGGAGTTTCGGTGGGCGGGTAGAGTGGCAGAAGGTCCGCCCGCCAACAGTGGGGCGAGCAAGGCAGGGGACGTGAAGCAGGCTGAACCTGCTGAGCGGAGGGAGCAAGCAGGTTGGTAGGAGGTTAGAAGGTAGAAAGGGTAGGTGGGGAGCAAGACCATCGAGGGCTTTGAAAGGGAAGACCAAGATCTTGAACTATATCCTCTGTGTGATGGGAAGCCAGTGGAGTCGCGCAAGGATGGGGGTGATAGGGTCAGGGAGTCTGGTGTGGGAGACGACGCGGGCTGCAGAGTTCTGGATGATCTGCAGGCTATGGAGGGAGGAGTTGGGGAGGCTAAAAAGCAGTGAGTTTGCATAGTCAAGCCTCGATGTAATGAAAGCATGTATGAGGGTATCAGCGGCCTGCGGTGTGTGACAGTGGTGGGGCCGGGTGATGTTGCGGAGGTGGGGGAAGTGAGAGTGGGACATGAGACGGATATGGGGGTAGAATGGATAGTTGAGGATCAAACAAGATGCAAAGGTACCTACCGGACTGGCTTAGAGTAAGGCCAGGACTCAGGTTAAAGAGGAGTCAGGATTCAGAGTAGCACCAGCAGCACTTAGATTCTCAATGAAAAATATTCAATAGTCAGAATCTTGCTTGGACTCAGAATGAAACGTAGGCAATTTAGAGTACTGTAGTGCAGTGGTTAGCACACTCGCCTCGCATGTGAGAGGACCCGGATTTGATTCCCGGACAGGGCAAAACCTTAGGCAAATTTCCTTACTCCTCATGTCTCTGTTTACCCAGCAGTAAGTAGAAACCCGGTTGTTAGTCAATTGGTGGATCGCTTTCCAGAGGTAATAATTCCTTTAAAAATAATAATTTGGTCACTCAATCCACGACTTTTTGTGGTACACCGCTGTCCCGAATGCCTGCTGCCTTTCGCCCACAAAAAAATCCTTGCATTTTTTGATATTGCGTCTTATCACATCATCTCAAAGCAACTCACAGAATGTGTAGTAAAATTAATTGACTATATTTTGTGGGAGAAATGCGGGATCCAATTGCACACAGCAGTGACCCACAAACAGTCGTGGATTGAATGACCAAATTAATCAATCCACTTTACAATATATTCTTTGAAGTGTTTTGAGATGTTTCTGTGATGTGATAAGGCACTATCAAATGCAAGGATTATATTATTATTATAATAATGAAAGGTTAAAGTGCACTCGTATCATAAGCTGTTCAAAGATTTTCAATACAGGCCTGAAGCTTCAAATTCCACCTAGGTTTAGCTTGGAAAACCATTATGCCTTAAGCTATAAGTCTGCATTGAATTGTGAAAAAATTCTTATATTCAGTCTCAATTTGGAATCCTTACCAGCTAAGATTAGGTGGAATTTCAATGCTCAGATAGCGGAATGAGGAGCTTGTCAACCTACATCAATACAACTGCAACTGCAACAATTCTAGGACAAAGATTAAATATTTGCTTCCATAGAAATGAGAACAGGGTGAAAAACATGATATGTGAAGCAGTAATTATCGTATTATTGGAAACCAGCTCACAGAGCTCAGCTAATGTGTAACAAAGAGGCTCTGAAACATCATCGATGGTCCAGACGGCAGCAATAGCACTGGTTGTGACTGGAGGAATTAGCTGGTTTTAGGCTAAACCATAGGGGCTGGAGGGTTGGAAGAGAGGGGGAGGGGAGTGCACACACTTGAAGCTGGTTGATAATAGAACTGTAGAATCATAGACATTTACAGTACAGAAGAAGGCCATTCAGCTCATCGTGCCTGTGGCTTTTTTAAAAGCAATCCTTCCATTTCTTGTCTTTTCCCCATACTCCTATAGTTCACTCCTTTTTTTAAGATATTTATGAAGTCCACTTTTATTATAAAAGTGGAAAGCCGAAAGCTTTCAAAAGCTTTTGAAAGCCAATCTGGATTCTGCCTTGATCATTGCTCCAGACAGGGCATTCCATATCCTAACCATTCTGTGCGTGAAAAAATATTCTCATATTCTCCTCATTTGTTTATTTGCTAATGACAATTTCCGACCACCGGTGAGAATTATCACATCACATATGGCATTTTTTACCCAATGTTTTGAAGAGATAGTGTTCGAGGATCATTTTAACCAGTTGCTATCTCTTGCTCTTACCTACACTTCTAAAAACATTTGATTTCTCCCTTTCCTCCTTCAAGGCCGGTCTCAAGACCTTTCTCTTTGACCGTGCCTTCAGCTCCCCTCTCAACTCTCTACCCCCTCCTCGCTCCCTCCCTTCCCCCTGACCATTTCCCCCCTGCTCGAGTCCTGACCCAACTGTACAGCGCCTTGGGACGCCCTCCCAACGTGAAAGGCGCTCTATAAATGGAAGCTTGTTGTTGTTGTATTACATTATAGAGGCGCTGTGTTATGAAAGGATAACCAGCAAACATTGCCTCATCATCAACACTAACCAACTTCAACTTTAGCCGTGCTTCATCTTTCTGATATTGCAAATTTAAATACCTTTGATCTGTAAACTATAATGCAATAAACAACAACAAATTACATTTGTATAGCACCGTTCACATCAGGAGGACTTCCCAAGGCCCTGGGTCAATCCCAGCATATTGGCATGTCCTTGGCAATAAATGTTTGCCAGTCTTTGATTAATCTCTTCAGCCTTCGGCCAAAATATTTAATCTGAGTAAGAACCTCGTTATTTTTCAAAGTCCTAACAACAGGGAGAATATAATATTAATAATAATCTTTGCATTTTATATGGCTTTGTTTAATTTGAGAGGATGTCTCAAAGTGCTTCACAGGATTTATTTTAAAGTTTGGTAACTGTATTTTGCAGGTGAAAGCCTAAGTAATATTGTAAGTAAATATTGCCTGGGTAATCTCGCTAATAATATCACTCGGTGTCTATCACAATGTCTTCCCAACGTGAAAGGTGCTATATAAACGTGAAGTTGTTGTTGTAACACTATTGCTTGGACAAGGAGAATGCCCTGGATCCTTCTTTCTTGAGCACTAATTTTAAACCAACATGTTTGATCCATCAAGTCATAACCATATTATTCAGTGTACCCATGACTCGATTAGAAATGTCATGGTTCCGAGCTTCTAGAAATGCAAGGAAGAAGCTTCCTCTAATCCATTTGTGAAGTTCAGGATTAAGCAGTGAGGTGGATTTGTGATAAAAGGGGAAGAGGTTTCAGAGAGAGAGGGCTCTGACCTACACCGAACATTTGCTGAGCACCTAGGAGCTGACTTCACAGTGGGAATGTCTATTTGTCAAAGGCCCTCGCATTAGGACCTGGATTAAGTAACTAGTGCTGAATACACTTGCTACGTTGCATTGGACTTGGATCTCAAGAACATCAAAGTAGGTAGCACATCACAAGCTGTCCTGTAAAGGTCCTCCCACCACACTGAAGGCAAATGTCAATAGCTGATGAAGAAACTCTGAGGCTTGGGATGACAGGATAACCTGGAAGGTGATACCTGGAGTCCAAGTTCCTGAACACACTTTCAAACATCCAGGGCTTGAAATCCACCTTGATTGATATGCAGAGGAGTGTTTAACTAATGCTCAAGCTCCGCACCTCCAACAGGTGGAATCATCACTCATTGGGTAGGGTTCTGTGTCCGAGCTGTGGGCAGGAAGATGATGCCAATGTTCTCACACATTTCATGCTGAGCTGTGCTGTTCAACAGGAAGCTTGCAGCGAGTTCTTGCTACCTCCTATTCACCTCAAAACAAAGCCCTAACAAGTAGCACGGCCTTAGCTGGATAAGCAGTGGAAAACTTGCCAGTCAGTGCTTTCAATAATAAGCTATATTTTTTTTTAGCTTGTTAAACTCCAGCAGTGCTCTTGCCAACCTGTACCCAATTCTCACTGACATTGGATAAGCAAGGTGTGTCCCTCCGGGGAGACATTACGCATTCCATTCCAAACACATGAATTTCCATGGCAGGTGACATGCATGGAATTCTCAGTCTGATTTGGATAATCTTAAGCATGGTGTTAGGTTTCCATATGTCAGACACCCAGCTGGCTAAAATAAATTGGATTGCCAATATCACATTCTGTTTTTTTAAATAAAGGAAGTGCATATCAACTCTGTTCTTCAGTAAGTTAATGCATGGCATTAGCAATTCAATAAATTTTGAATATCTGGCATATTTCCAACCATTATAAGGTCTCAGGTGACTGTAGAGTTCCCGGTGAAGCATATGCAAAGACTATAAAATATCCATGATTGCAATAAGTAAGCCTCTGTCTGCAACACCTTGTAATCACTCACATTGCATTGTTTTTATGTTGATTATTTATCTTGTCCCTCGCTTTTTTTACTTGATCTTTTTTGCTCATTAATTATAAACCCCGATGCATGTTGCAGATTGATTTTGTGAAAGACGCATTAAGATTTAGGATTGAGTTTCCAGGTGTCAGCTGTTTGGCCTTTCAATGGAGAAAAGTTTCAGGGCCAAACACAGAGATTAGAACAAAAGATTAGAACAAAAATTAACATCCAATGAATACAGAACTGATAATACAGGAGAAAATAATGAGAAATATGAAAATTGTTTTGAAGAAGCATTAAGAAAGATTAGGAAGGCGATGTGGGAGTATGAAAGATGACTGGCAGTCAACTTGGAGAACAATCGCAAAGGCTTTTAGAAGCACATAAAAAGTAATAGGATAAGGCAGGGAATTACTGGTTAATTATAGGCCAATCTCATCTCAGTCATGGATAAAAGTCTGGAGACTATAATAGGGGATAGAATTATAATATTAATCTTTCCATTTGATACATCTCCTTTCATGTTGAGAGGACATCTAAAAATGCTTCACAAAAAGCTATTCAGTGAATGATCAATTTTATCTGGAACATTTTTGTCCAGTACACCAGAAAAACACACCATTGCTGGCATTCAACTTTTATAACAATAGCCCCTAATCACTGACTCACCGACCAACCCCCACCCTCCCGTACATTGAAATTCAGCCTAGACTGGGTGGTCAATCCTGATGTGTGACTTGAACCTACAACCTCTGATTCGGAGGCAAGAGTGCAAATGAGCAGGCTGACACCTTGCTTGAAAAAAGTCATCAGATATTAAAGGTCAATTAGTGCATTGGTTATTGTCTAATCTTTCTCATTCTCAAGGCTCTGCACACCAATTATTCTCATTCTCACCAACCTCCTTTGTCTCCCAGTACCTCAGAGGATCTATTTTATGACCAAATCTCTTGAGGGTCTCACCTTATCCTACCTATGCAATCGTGTCCAGTCTTCTAATCCAGCTCACACCCTCTGCTCTTCCAACTCTGGTTTATTGCTCTTTCCCTACTCTCTTTCCATGTCCTCTAGAACTCTCTTCCCAAACCATTGTGGCTTGCCACCTTTCTATTGCCTTCAAATCCTAAGAACCATCTCTCTGACTAAGCTTCTGATCAACCTTCTCAATCTCTCTTTTCATTGCTCAAAGACTACATTACACTTGTCCAGTCCTTAGAGATGTTCTTTAACATAAAAGAGACTGAATAAATGCAAGCTGTTGTTTTGGCTTTGATAAAAAAGAGAACGTTGAGCTTTGCTGTGTCTGTTCATTTATTGTACACAGCAGCTGCCATCAACATGTCTGTAAGTAGCTCTTATATGCGATGGTTCTGGATGTGTGCCTGGTGTCTTAATGTATGACGTTTCTTTAAGCGCTCTGGGACGTCGCCCGGCCTGGAGGGCGCTATGTAAATGCAAGTTGTTGTTGTTGTTTCTCACCTTTGCACTGAAGAAATCCTTAACTATAACGTATAGCAATTTGATAGATAGTCCTGAAGTACCCGTATTAAAGCTACCTCATCTGCAGTGAGTGCAGACAGTGGGAGTGCTACTTAGCAATACAATCTCTTCACAATAAGTGCTTTCATTCCTCACTATAACACTGGTGTAATTAGATTTGCATCTCCTCTTTAATAGAAAACTTGTATGTAGGTGTCAGTCTGGCTTAATTGACAGCACTCTAAACACTGAGTCAGAAGATCCTTAGGATTTAAACTCACAGTCTAGACTGATGCTCTAAAGCATTGCTGGAGTTGTTGTCCTTCAGATGAGATGTTAAATCACAGTCTTGTCTACCTATTCATGTGGACATTAAAGATCCCACAACACTATTTGAAAAGAGAAGAGTTTCCTCTGTTGTCCTGGCCAACAATTCTGCATATGTAATTAATCATTCACTTCATGGCTGTTTGTGGGTCATTAGTGTTTGCAAATTGACTCTCACAGTGACGTGTATATAGAATTCAAAAATTAGAAGCCACAGTTTTGGTGAATTAACTGAGAAGTTGATAATAAACACTTCATTGCTATGCTATCAAACAGCTTTCCTGTTAGAAAATAGCATTCTGTAAATATAAAATATAAAATTTTAATTTTAATCTGATTGAGTTTTAATCTGATTGAGTTTCCAGGTCTGTTGTGAGCCAGGCATGGCATAGCCTCACTCATATGTTTGCGAACTCAATCAATCAAAGGTCCACCTTTAATAAATGTTTTCCTCGGTCAGCAGTATCTCACCAGTGTAACGTAATCAGCAGCTGATTGAGATTAAACCACTTTCCTGCACCCAGTTCTCAGATAACATCACTATATTTTGATGGCCTGTCAAAGGGTATGACGGATCTTTATTTCTACGACTCAGGTGAATGTAGATCAAATTAAAGGTTATGAGGAAACTGAAAGAGGGACTTTGCTCGTTTTACCACTCGGTTAGCAGTGAAGTCTTTCGATTACCTTTCATCTTTCTCTTGACTTTGGAATATAGCCCTTCCATCAGTTACATGGACTTTCCATTCCCTCTGCCCAGTTTGCCATAAATCCATTAAAATCCCATTCTAAGTGCACTCTACAAAGGTTGTCTTGAAGCACATCATGGGAAGAGATTGCATTGGAGCAGAGTTCTGACGGGGGAAGACAGGTTATACAAGCCCTTTTTCCATCCTGTCAATGTTTACCATGTTTGGGGTAACTGCAGCAAATGGCATATTTAGCTGTGGGCAGATGCATCCTTGAGAAAGAGAGGAGGATATGGTGAAAAACAGGAAGGTGAGGACTGAGATCAAAAACAAAGCAGTGTCTTCCTTGGCCAAATGGACTGATTCTTGCTGCTAAAAGTCTTATATTACTAATTACTAATGTAGAACAAAACAATTTGACCAAAATGTGAGTCTGTCATGGAGGCTCAAGCAAATGTTTAATTTTAAAATTTCACATTGGGCAATACGCATTGGTCTTCTCTCACTTCTGGAACTCTCTGTCTCTATCTCTCTACCTCAGCCCCTCTCTATCTGTCTTTAGGATACAGTATATCCTGTGAAGCACTTTGTGACATCCGCCTGACGTGAAAAGCCATATATGAAATGCAAAGATTATTAGTATTATTTATTAATATCTCCAATAATGAGGAAACAAAATCACATCATATATTTAAAACTGATGTTTTTTTTGAACTCTTGTCTGCATTTGGGGTCAAAATTGTATTTTGCTATAATGCAGATAAATAGACCTCTCCTGATGTCCCTGTTTTGTGTGGCTTGGTGTTCTGGTGGCGTGTCATTAAAAAAAAGGAAACACAGTCACAGGATTACGTATTTAACAGTATTAGCACAAGATTAAACCTAGTATTAGTATAAATTAGTATAAATCCTTCTGTAACCATCCTGTTCTATATTGTTCCATAGAGGACCAGAGCAACATGCTGGGACAGCACATGTAAAAAAGGAGACGAGGTATAGGAGAGGGATATGGAGGCTCATGTGAAGTATAAACACCTGCGTGGACTAGTTGTTCCGAATGGTCCATTTCTGTGTTCTAAGGATTTACATAGTTCTATATGGTACAACTTACTTTAATAGATCAGGTTTTTTAATAGGTTTTTGCAAAAGGAAGAACTGGTCTCAGTTTTTACCATTGGATTTGCTTACCGTTATAGATGATTTTCCAGCACTGTTCCCTTGTTTCAGTAGTGATTTTGAAAGTTTTCTCTGTGATATAATCTGCAACAAATCAATAAGACAAATAATACAAATAATAATACTACAAATAATAATGAGACAAGATTATTTTAACACAATAAATCACAAGTAAAATAAAGATATAAAAAATAACTGAGCGCTAGAAACATGAAATAAAAACAGAAAATCCTGGAAATTGCAATCGTTCAATCAGTATTTGCAAGAGATACATCAATGTTTCAGGTGTGATCCTTAACAAGACTCATGTAACCATTCATTGTACGTTATTCCTGCTTCTTTGCAAACCAGTGAGAAGGAGCATAAGTTCAGGATTAGCACTGGAAGATGGTTAGATTGGAAGATGGTCAGGAGAATCCGTTTCACATAAAGGGTTGTCAGAATACGGAATTCAATGCCACTAGTAACTAGTGAGGCCAAGACTACAGCAACTTTAAAAGTCAATAGGGTAAACATTTATATTGACATGAAGAACAGGAAATTGAACTTAAGAACAGTTACATTCATTGGATAGGCTGATATCACATTAATGGGCCAAATGGCCTCCTGTGTTGTAATTTTTATTGGCTCAAACTGGGGTATCCTAAACTCATTGCATTCCTTATTGATGAACAGTGTAACAATGTTTATCAAAATAACTACCCCACCCAATTCTGATTATTGGCAGTGCTCTAACTCAAATAAAAAGTCCTGGATGCCATCATTTTGAATTCATGTTCAAAAAGACCTTTCATGTGCTCCTAAAACAGCTTTTCCAAGCTTTGCCTTAACTCAAACTCAGTTAAGACATCAGCTTGTGAATAAGACCTTGGAAGACATTTTCTGCAACAATTGCGACTGAGGCCTTTCAAAATCTTCAGGCTAAATCATGCTTGGCATTACTTACACTGTACATCTCTATGAGAGGCCCCTTCTGAATCATCTTCTCTCAAGACTGAAGAGCTCTAGCTTGTCTAATCATTGTTCATAGCTCATTCCTCTAACATTGGGATAATTCTTGTTGCTCTCCTCTAGACTGTCTTTAGAGCCTGGACATCTCCCTTATGAGTGACCAGAGCTGTATGCAGTATCAAGCTGTGGTCTGCACTATATTTTTGTGTATAGTGGCCCTATACAGCCTGAGTATGACTAAACTGATTTAGCAAAGTGGCTCAGCATCCTCTTTGCCTTGTCATTGTTGCCCCATACTGTTTTGACGTGTGATCAGTCAACTAACACCCCTAGTTCTCTTTCAGCTTCTCCCTTGGCGAGTTCTGTCCCATCCATTGAATACTTGTGTTTCTTATTCTTACTTCTTATATGTCGAACCTATCATTTATCTGTATTAAACTTTATCTGACGGTCATCAGACAAGTTCACTTATAATACAAATGGCGTTTGGCCCCATTCACTGTGCTTTCATGAAGCCAACTAGCTCACTTGTGCATGTCAGCCAATATTCAGCAATAAGAATGGTTGATAGTTGGAACATTAGATCCTAGCCAGTGTCACTTCCTGCCCATTGCATGACATTGGTGGCAGCCCTAATGGTGTTGAAATGGCCATTTTGGCATTCAGAATGCTAAAAATGACTGACATTCAGATCATGAGATCATCACTGATATCACTTCAAAAATATTCTGTGTGCCCCCGCTGGAGTCCTAGCACTGGGCAATGCGCGGGGTGCACCAGACTGTATCTGGCCCCTGAAAAAGGTGTCAGTACACCAAAAGGGCTAAAAAAGAGTGGCCACTGGTTGCTTTAGACAGGTGGTTGCTGAATAGAGGTGGCTTATTATGGACAATCGGGCAGGACTGTTCAGAATGTTGTTTGGCAGCTGGTGGTTGCTGACTAGAGGTGGTTGCTTTAACAGGGTTGAGTATATTTCTTGTTAGTAAATTGGGCAAATAAGTGCAGAGGCAACACCCGCTGCCCAGAGAAGCTGTATTCTGTTTGTTTGAGATGTGTGAGTTGCCTACTTGTCCGAGAGTGCATTCCATTCCTCCAAGGAAGTCGGCATCCTTCACTCCGTTGTGCAAATGGTTGCTTCCAATGTCGTAGACTTCAAACCTGAGTCGCTGAACTTCCTCAAAGTAAAAGTCCACTGTGAAAACTTTGGAAAAGACCGGGTTTATGCAGGTGCGGATCACTTCAGTCCTGTCAACCTGAGGAGGGAAGAAATTAATGCCTGGTCAGCCTGATTTCACTCTCAATAGCAAACGTGCAGAAATCAAAAGCAATTATATTCAAGACTAAGGAAAATTTTTCAGTATTATAGTGTATTTCCAATTTTAGGACAGCACTGGGATTTCTTACATCAGCTCTATTCCTCCAATTTATTCTGTTCTCGCAGTTATTATCCATTCCAGTCAGTATTCTGAAAGCCTAAATAACATCTCTGTCAATCTCCTCTAATATAAAAAACACAGTTCTGCGCCTCTTTCTTCACAACTCAGTAAATTAGGTCTCAAATCATACATATTATTTTCTGAATATTCTCCAAAGTCTAATACAATTGATATTTCTATTGCGATGTTTATGTTGGGAAGAAGTCCCAAAATGCCCCTCAAGGAACAATGGAAAGCACGGTCAAAGAGGTCTTGAGGCAGGCTTTAAAAGGGAAGAGGGACGGGCGAGACAGAGGGTTGGAGTTCAAAGCGGGAAGCAGAAGCACCCACTGACTGCCTGCTGCATTTAGCATTTATCTGTATTAAATTTCATTTGAATCATCAGCCAAGTTCGCTTACAACACGAATGCCGTTTGGTTCCATTCACTGTGCACGCATGCTGCCAACTAGCTCACTTTGAACACGTCAGCAATAAAAACAGCTGATATCCAATTCATTAGATCACAGTCAGTGTCACTTCCTGCTCATCATCATTAGATGACATTGGTGGCAGCTTTAATGATGTAGAAATTGGCCATTTTACCTTCGAACACCCACCAACTGTTGGGTCGAGAGGATGCGTACCATTAAGTAGGCGGGTGCTCACTGCCCGAAGAGAGTGGATGGATCAGTAGGATTGTGGGAGATCTCAGAGGTAGTGGAGGGATTTGAAAACAAGGATACACCAACCTTTTGCAGAAAAGCTGCTCAGAATATTACAACGTTGGGGTGAATTTAGCAGCACATTTGATATTTCTCCCCTTTGAATGGCTGACAGCCATTCTCCTGACATCAGCACCTTTCTTAATGGGGAGATCTATGAAGAACTGTGCCTAGGGTCCTTGAAAGCCAGCTAGCAGGATAACCAGCTAGCTAAACTTGAGCTTTTTGCTTGATAATAATAATAACCTTTACATTTAGTATTGCACTTTTCACATCCGGAAGGCATCCCGATGCGCTTCACAGGATATACAGTAAAGTGACAGTGTTTTGTGAACAAACCACAGTGATGTAGTATCCAATGATTTGAGCCAAGCTTCACAGATTTCACCATAGAGAATATTATTCAGGTTGCCTCACATTCATGCCTGTGATAAATATTGAATGTAATGCTAAATCGACTCCTTTATTCCCTCTGTGGTCTTCCTAATCATCTGTACAATGTTAGAATAATTTGTTTCAGGACATCCAAGTGGCCACTTGGTGGATCCCAGTGCACAGTTAACCCTCCTGTCAACAGCTTCACATTTCCAGTATACATTAGCACACTCAATCAGACTTTATTGATGTTCTTTGTCCACCTTTTTGTAAATGATATCTTTCATTGAGTGCACATGTTGTGTTTCCGTTTCCAAAATGCTCAACGTGTAAATGCATCTAATATCTTTAGTGCATTTGCTTAACTAGTCCAGAGTGAGTTCAATGATATCATTCTCCCTTATATTTTTCATCTAATATATTATGCCAGCAAAATACTTAATGACGGTTTTTAGGTCAAGAGCTTGACTTCTAGCTAGTTAAGGAGTTCTAAACAATTACTAAAAGCTGGCTTTCATTCTGATGTTGAATTTAGCTGTAAATTTCCATTCAAAGATGAATAAGGTATTATTATTGTGTGGGCAGAATAGAAAGGTTATTACCTCATGTTTACTGAGAATAAGCTTAATAATCACATACAAGATGATCCCATTCACATTTCTCACTGTGTTGTGCTGGAGTTTGTGGGCGAAGGAAAAGTTAGGTAATGATGGCAGCAGAAGCCGGAGAAGGTCAAATGAGGTTTAAGTTAATCCAAAAATGGACAGATTCTGATGTTTCAAGAGCAACTGAAATGGAATAAATTTTGTCACTGCTTCACTCATTCATCACAAATTGGAAGTTAGCCACATAAAACGCAGCATTATTAGCCAACTTACACATTTCCCTAATTCTACATTACAAATCAGGAGAAATTGACCAAATAAATAATTTGGCAACTGGGTAGATCTTGAAGCGTACAATATGGATCAGACAGACCTGCTGTTTTTTTTACATTTTGTTTCATCAAACACACAGCACATAGACAGGGAATGGTGTAGGTAACACAGGATAGCTGTTAGCAAATGCCTGCAAAATGTAGGGTAGGGAAATCAAACCTGAAAAACTGTGCCGTCAATCAGAATATTTAATTTGCTTCCAAAGTGCAGAAAAAGAGCTGTAAAGTGTAAGTATAAACTATTCACCAATTATTCACAAACCTACAGGAACAAGAAACTGTGCCCACAAGACTATTGAAAAACTTATAGCTTTCACTCTTAAGCTTCACACACTGTTCTCTCTACTGTCTTGTACCTGATAATTGTATCTTATTTTGCAGTCTCCCACAAACTGTCGTGAATTGAAATGACCAATTTATTATTGTTTTTTTTATGGATTATTATCAGGCATGTAGAGTAAGGAAACTTACCCAGTATTACACCCTGCAGGGAACTGAACCCAGGTCTCTTGCTTGCAAAGCGAGTGCTCTAACCATTGAGCTACATGACTTCACATGTCCTGATTTGACAAGATAGGGCTTTTCAGTCTTGAGAAAAGGTGTCTCAGAGGGCATCTAATAACATTTTAAATGGGATTGAAAAAGTAATCTCAGAACAATACTCTAGGTTGCACCAAGAAAGTAGAACAAGATAGTATAGATTTAGAGTTGCAAAGGGCAATTTCAGGACAGACACTAGGAAGTATTTCTTTACATGGAAGATAATTAATGATTGAAACAGGTTGCCAGGAAGGATGGTTGAGGTCAGGACACTGGACTCATTTAAAAGGTAGCTTGGTGCTGTGATAGGAGAATGGTGGGATGGGTATTCTGGAAGGATGTGATCGGATAGGCTGAAGGTCCAACTAATCTTGTGATCTTACCATTAGAGTTTCATGTAACAGTATGTGACTTACAGAGAGTCGTGACAATAGTAGTAATAATTATTCAGTAAGTTGGAAAGAGAGGACAGGTAGGTAGATGACATTGGAGCCAAATCCTGTGGGTGAGACATGAAAGCTGAGTTTGGAGCACATATAGACCAAAGGAGCTGTAAATATTTTCATACTGATTTCAAGTAATTTAGTGGATAATTTTAAAGCTCTGGAATCTCAGCATGAAGAGCATTTAGGCGCTGAAGTACATTTGGAGGAAGTAAAACTATTCCCAAACTATACTTAGAACAGTTTCCTAATGGTTAGAACATATGAGTAAAATATCAACACGGGAAAATCTCTAATGAAACCAGTGTTTATCAGTAGTGAATCTAACAGCACCATCCAAAGAAATTATAGTTTTCGCTAATCACTGTTGTAACTCTACTTCTGGGTTCACCATTCAAAATGTCATTGTCAGACAGACGTTTGCTATGATATCACTTGGGAGACTTTTGTTCTAAAGCACACTGCAGCAGAATTCTCACAAAATCAGTTTTGGATGAAGATGAAGGCCCTTCATCCCATCCAACTGCACCCTTTCAGAACAGCCCATCACAGCGTCAAGCTGTTTTTCAAATAAAACCTCAATAATTATTAGTTGAAGTAATACTATGTAGAGAAGAAAATATAAGGGTAGAATTAGTTAACATAATGAATGGGTTAAGGAACACTGCAAATTTTATTCAATGCTGAAGTACTATACTGCAAAATTACGTAAATGGATCTGTGCAATAGGTAATAAACAGAAGAATAAATATATAACAAGGTTTGGAGTATGGTATTTATCCATTCACTTCATTCATCTGCTAATTGATCATAATGTTCACTCTGTGCATTGGAGTGACCATATCACTTATGTCCCAGATATCTTTTCTCTTTACAAACTCTGGTTAAGATTAAAAACTTTAATTGTACTTTTTATCAGGATGTTGGCAGATTTCCAGCATTTTTTCACCCTTAATAAAAATATATAATAATCCTTGCATTTTGATACAACCCTTAATCTCCTGAGGAGGTGGTGGAGTCTTCTCTTTGCCCTTGTAACAATGGTTCTCCCATGATGGTATTGGGTGGTGAGTCCCACATATTCTGAAATGATGGAGTAAAATTGATAGAAAATGGGGCTGCAGTAACAAGGTTTCGATGTAGATAATTAGACTAGAAGTGGAATTAAAGGAATTTAGAGACAGATACATAGTCACTACACTTTACAGTAAATCCTGTGAAGCACTTTGAGACATCCTTCTGATGTGAAACACAAGATATCAAACACAAGAATTATTTATTATTATAAGTGTTCTTAAAATATAATGATTTGGAAATAAATGCTGCAATAAAATATTAAAATGCTGCAATAAGAACAATCTGTTTCTCTTTTGTTTCTAGTGCAGAATGGATTAACACTTGCACCCCACTTCATTATAGATCTTCCACAGGAGATCACTTTGAATAATCAAGGCTTTACATTTCAGGTGTATAAATATGATATAGATGGAAGCATTCAATAAAAAAAGCATCAATTGTTGGTCACGATTAATATCGTTTGTTTTAATTAAAAACTCCTGCAAAATACTGGTGAATTTAAGATCTCACACATATGAGAGACTATGATTACAAATGGAAGGTAAGGCAGTTTTACTTCTGATGTAGACATGATCAAGACCTTTGGATACCTATTCAGGATTATTCGGATTATTCAGGATTATTCAGAATGGTTAAAAAGGTCAGAAATAACCCTTCGATTTTAAATAAAGTCCCAAAGTGCTACACAGGATATTCTGTAAAGTGTAATGACGGTGTGTTTTTATGGGCAAACCCAGGAGCCA